GGGCCTTGAGACGTAAAGCCTACAATTCTATGGGCGACTGTCACTGTTGGGAGTACAATAGTAGTTAGAGGAAACCACTACACTACAGAAACAGTGACCTAGTGAGTTTTGCTGAGGATTCTAGCCCATTAGATGGAATGTTCCTCATCTAACCTTGCATCCAGGAATGTTTCTGAGGAAAAAAACAACTGGAGTGGTGTGTACCAGTACACACATCTGAGGATCTCCCGGCAAGTTTATCTTCTGTCAATCGAGTCATTGTCATTCAGTATAATTAAGAGGTTTTGTGGCTTCCTGTATCTTTTCAGATGTTCCCATCAGAGCCATTTGTGCACCGGCAGAAATACAAAGACGAAGGCAGCGTCTGTAGTCCAGTGATGTGGCTTTTGTGACCCAGCCAGCATTCTTGTTGGTTTGGGCGAAAGTTCTTTATTGTTGGTTACATTTCTGTCATTGAGGCTAGACTTGCGCCCAGAGGGCATAAGGTGTATTGAATATAGACTTGCCAAACCTGTTTTTCTAATATAGTTAAACATACACGTTTTTAAATTTTGAATCAATTTTTAAAAAGATATAATGAGTAACGTACAGGTTAGGTGTACTGTTTCATAAATCATGATGTGTTCATGAAACTAAAGCCATCATTATACTCATAACTAGAGTCCTGGTGCACAGATTCATACACTGGTGAGGTCACTCGGCGTGGCCTGCGGGGATTGATCTGAAACTGGCATCCATCTCCCAAGTACCAACTGGCAAGGCTGCCAGAGAGGAGCCTGAGCCAAGCTCAGGTGCCGTGATGCTCCCGCTCATCCTGGTCTTGCTGCTGCTGCCACCGGTGCTCAGTTGGTTCGGTGCTGCACCGCTGTGGTCTCTGCGCACCCATTCTAAGGCAATACTGGCACGCCCATGTCTGAGAAGCAGCAGTGAGCTCGTGCTCAGTCAGTTTCAATGCTGGTCTTGATCCTGGTCCTGGTCAGGATGGGGTAGGGGTGTGCAGGGGGAGTGAACACGGGAGAGGCTCGTGCCTTCGCAGCTGCGCTTGCCAGTTGGAAGCCTGGCATCTAGCCCTATAGGTGAGCTGAGCGGCGCTTCTGCTTTGGGAACACACTGACCACCAGGGGGCAGCTCCTGCATTGAGCGTCTACTCCCTGGTGGTCAGTGCGCATCATAGCGACTGGTCTCTTAGGCTTTTCTATACGTAGATATTGTCCATATCTGCCACTGTAATCTTGGTTCATGACTTTTTTAAATGTGTACATGTGCTTCGCAGACTAACAAGTAACCAGTGATTTACATTCCATTTCAATAGATCACTTTGCATTTTCTAAGTATTTTTCTCCTTTTCATAAATTTTTGGATATTTATTAAAGATATATTAGTAACTCATCTTTTTTTCTGATATTTTTACTTTGAATATATCACCAATAGTTTATCCAGATGAGTATTTGGTCATTTCTAATAAAGCTGGTACAAAGTATCCTATATAATAAAAGGCTAATATGCAAATAAACTGCACTGCAGAAAGACCGGTTGCTATGAGGCGCACTGACCACCAAGGGGAAGACGCTTAATGCAGAGCTGCCCCTGGTGGTCAGTGCGCTCCCATGGGGAGCGCCACTCAGCCAGAAGCCTGCTCACAGCTGGTGAGAACAGAGTCAGTGATGGGAGCCTCTCCTGCCTCTGTGGCAGCGCTAAGGATGTCCATCAGTGGGACATCCCCCAAGGGCTCCCAGAGTGCAAGAGGATGCAGGCCAGGCTGAGGAACCCCCCTCCACATGCACTGGGCTGCTAGTCTATCTTACCTAATAATAGACAAACATGTAAATTGACAATACCTTTGCTATGCCAATCAGGAGAGTATGCAAATTAACCCAACAAAGATGGTGGTTAATTTGCATACATAAGCACAAGCGGCCTGGGTCCCGGGAACATCCTTGGGACCCAGGTCACTCCTAGTCTGTAGGCCCGCGCATAGGTCCTGAGCAGCTAGGGTCAAAGAACGCCCCGGCCGCTCCGGGCCTATGGGCGCAGGTGCCAAGTGGATGTTCCCACCCTATGGCCACTTGCGCCTGTGCAGGTGCCAAGCAGCAGCCTGGATCCACGCCCCCCAGCCTAGCACCCATCACAGAGGTGAACAGGCCAGGCCAGGCCTCCCCGAGATCAATCATGGGGCGAACAGAACAGGCCTTCCTGCAATCACTGGTGGGGTGAACAGGCCAGGACTCCCTGCAATTGATCACGGGGCGAACAGAACAGGCCTCCCCGCAAACGGTCGCAGGGCAAACAGAACAGGCCTCCCTGCGAACGATCGCAGGGTGAACAGAACAGGCCTCTCTGCAATTGCTGGTGGGGTGAACAGGCCAGGCCTCCCCCAGTCGCTTTCAGGGCGAACAGAACAGGCCTCCCTCTGAGGCAAACAGAACAGGCCACGCCTCC